TGTGAAACCTTTCTACTTAAGATAATGACAGAAATTTATGACCGCTTCCTTTCCTGGCAGAAAGGAGCACAATTAGAAGGTTGAAAACAGCAGGCCCTTTGTACCAGCATGTTATGTTTTGCTTATTCTATTACGCATTGGCTGGGAGATAAGAATAAACAGGACAACACCCTGTCTAACCCCAGGAGGAGGGGGTGGAGGGAAAAGCCGGTCATGTTCATTCTTGGGCAAGTACGTGCACACTGTTTACTTGCAAATTGAGGTACTTAAGAAAATTGTGCACGTAACAGTCAGGAACTAGTATAATCATTCAGAAATCTTTTCATTGCACAATCCCGTCTTTAACAAACAAGATGTATGTAATAGGGAGCTCCACCATGAAATGCATTGAAGATATTTTAAGTAATTGGTAATTATTTCTCTAAACTCCTTTGCTCAGTCTCTAAAAGAACTTAAAAATGAGGATGAGCAAAAGCATAAACACAACTTCCCTCTTGTGAGCTACTGTGTCAACAAAGTTTGCAAGGAATCAACCAGGTGATCTGAGACTTCTCTCTTCTCTTAAAAGGGACAGCTGACAGTCTGAGTGCCAGGTGCTCTGATAGTTCCAGCAACAAAGAATTCTTCTGCTCAAGGACAACAGCACCTAAGCCAATCAGGTTCTAATTAGCCAGTCAGGAGACAGTGCAGTCCCAAGAAAACCAAGACAAAATTGGACCTCCCTGCTGGCTGTCTTCCCACAACCTCTGGCGGCCTGCAATGACCAACCCTAGCTGTGCCATTTCTTCGTGTCTCTCTCTGTTCCTCCTCACATGGGTGTGTGGGGGTGGCTCAGCTGACCCAAGACCACCCTGGTGATGCTACCTGTTCTAGTCTGTCACTTACTTGGTTTTATTTTCTTCACAGTGCAGATCTCAATGACTGTTTTTAGTATATAGTGTTTTCTTCCCCTGACTAGAATACGCATTCCATGAGCACAGAGACCTCATTAACCTTGTTTACACTTGTAGGCTCAGCATCTAGGTACTACCTGGCAGAAAGTATGTGCTTCATAGAAATATATTTTGAGACTGAATAAACGATCACTGTATATAAGCCAACAGTGAACGAATGAGCCAAAGAATCACACAGAACAGGTAGAAAGGAAGTCAAAGCAGAATTTAATCATCTATCAATAACCATCCTGCTGCCATTTTTTTCCCCAGTTTCCCCAGTGGGAGCAGGCATGAAACTACATGCGAATGGTTGAGCTGGAAAGCAGAACTTTAGGCTTTCTGATTCTACTGTATTATAAAGAAAACCACCATTCTGAAATAACGTGAAAAACTCTCAAAAGTCAAATATGGAAGGAGAGGGGTATGTTTGGATGTCAACAAGGAAGTTCCGCCAATCTAATTATGTCTCCTGACGTGTAATTGTGAACTGCTGAAAGACAAATGGTGAAGCAAACCGTTTAATGTAAACACATATAGAGGTAAGGCTCAAGTGTTAATTTTTAAGCAACTGTCATAAATCTGGTTCCAGGGTATTATTCCATGAACACTACTGCTATTATAACAAAAGAGCATAAGTGTAACGATGTGCTCCTTTCAGGGATGAATACTTCTCAACAGGAGGAAATTAGGCTTGCTATTCAATCTCTATCTGAGACATGGAGGATGTAAGAGAGCATGATGAAAATGGCAGAATATTAATTATACCAACTGGAAGAGAGCTGTCTGTACATCAAAGACTCGGTTAAAATGCATTTTTGAAAAAAAATGCGTTTTTGTATCTTCACATAGACCTCAGAGTGCTTGATCCAATAAATGTTCACTCTACAGCTCCTGATACAGCAGATTCAGTCCTTATGAAAGGCAAAAGTAAAATGAAATAAAAACAGAAAGCCTACACACCCTAAATGGGAAAAGCATGGGAACAGAATGGCCAGTGAAGAATCTGAAAGGCAAACTAGTGGTTTTTCTCAGAATCAGAACAGATTAACGCACCTCCCTGGGAAGTGTGATTCAGAAAAGGGTTGGGTTGGGGCAAAGATAGAGCCAGGAAGTTGTGGCATTTGTTATATAAAAAAAATAATAATAATAAAAATCATGAAATAGCGTACTGATACTCTGCCCACTATGTCTGAAAAGCGCTCCAAATTCTAAAACACTGTGTATTATTTACCTTCTTATGAATCAATTGTTCATTATCATAAATTCAAGTTATACAAATGTGCCCCTCCTCATTTTACTGAAATATCAGATTAGGCTCAAAAACAGACTCAGGAGAGTTTTAAGCTTACTCATACAAATTCTGATATGTAACATTTAAAATGAATTTTGGACATTATTTAAGAATTATGAGTATTACCCCCAATTTTTTAAAATTTAACACAATAAGGATGTACTTTAGTTCACTTAGAAATGCTGACTGTAAAAAACAGAAAAAAAGAAATGTTGACTGTAATTTGCCAAAAAAGGAATACTAAATGGCATTCATTATAGTTAAGACCTAATTACTACAGAGTCTGGTGGTACAGAATTAAAGGTCCTAAGAGGCCGGGGATTTGACTCGGTGGTTCCACTGCCTGCCTCACAAGCTCAAGGACCCAAGTTCGATCCCCGAGACCAAAAAAAAAAAAAAAAAAAAACACCGCC